TTTTCACGTCCCAATCGCTCCGCCCCATTGGCGGTTTCTTCGTTTTGCTTTTCAAGGGAGGCATTTCCAGTTCAGGGTCCTCCCGTTCGGACTTTCACTGTCTCCCAGGGTGTTCACCCGATGTGTTGCAGCGGCCCTCTCTCCTCTGCAGGCACAAGGATTAAGGATCCTCCCGTATCTGGACGACTGGCTCGTTTGTGCCGCGACGCGGGACCAGGCGGTTCGGGATACTCAGTTAGTGCTCCATCATGTGGGATGCTTGGGCTTGCAGGTGAACATGGAGAAGAGCAGTCTGACCCCCTCACAGGAGACTGTCTTCCTGGGCATTGCCATGGATTCCATCTCGATGACTGCTTGCCCGTCACCCCAGCGGGTGGACAGTATATTGGGCATGCTCCCGGAATTCAGGCGTGGCATGGCACCGCCTCTTGTGCGGTACCTTCGACTTTTGGGCATGCTTACAGCGGCGTCTGCCGTAGTGCCCTTGGGGCTGCTGTCATTGTGGCCCCTCCAGATGTGGTTGAACAGCTTGAATCTGGATCCCGCACGGAACACTCATCGTCTCCGCAGACTTCGGGTGGGGCCTCAGTGTCTTCAGTCTCTGTCCCAATGGAGGGTGAGGTTGTTTATGTCCACAGGGGTCCCGCTCGGTTCCCTCCCGTGTCGTCGGGAAGTTGTGTTTACGGATGCATCCTCCACGGGCTGGGGTGCGACCTGGCGGGGTCAAATGGCACAGGGGACATGGTCCCAGCGGCAGAGCAGGGAACACATCAATGTCCTGGAGTTACAGGCTGTATTTCTGGCTCTTCAGAGCTTTCTCCCAGGCTTGCAGGGGAAGCATGTGCTGGTGAGGTCAGACAACACCGCAGTGGTTTTTCACATCAACCACCAGGGGGGAACCAGGTCAAGGAAACTGTTGTGCTTGACTCGACGGCTCCTGACCTGGGCAGCTCCATGCATGGCCAGCCTCAGAGCAGCCTACATCCCAGGGCCGGAGAACGTGCCAGCAGATTTTCTATCCCGTCAGAAGCCGCTCCCAGGGGAGTGGAAGCTTCACCAGGAGGTAGTGGACCGCATCTGGAAGGTCTTTGGCAAGGCGGCCGTGGACCTCTTTGCCTCAAGGGACGCGTTTCACTGTCCCCTGTGGTTCTCATTGGACAACACCAGCCCTCTGGGCCGCGATGCCCTGGCACACGACTGGCCCCGGACCCTCCTTTATGCCTTTCCGCCATTCAGCCTCCTTTTCCAGACTCTCCTCAGGGTGCGTCAGGAGAGGCACAGGGTTCTGCTGGTGGCCCCCTACTGGCCAGCGAGGACTTGGTTTCCTCTACTGTGCGAGCTCAGCTCCGGCTCGCCGATGCGTCTCCCCTCCAGGAGAGATCTTCTTTCCCAGGTGGGGGGTCAGATTCTGCACCCCGAACCGGACCGGCTCCAGCTCTGGGTTTGGCCCCTGCAAGGCCGGGGTCCACCTTCTCAAGGTACTCTGGGTCCATAGGGCATACGATGGCTAATGCATGGGCCCCGTCCACGCGAGCTGTCTATGCTAACAAGTGGACGGTCTTCGCGACCTGGTGCCGTGATAGAGGGCAGGACCCGGTGCAGTGTTCAGTTTCTGACATACTGGCCTTCCTGCAGGTATTGCTGGATCAAGGACGGTCTCCATCTACCTTAAAGGTGTATGTGGCTGCCATTTCCTGTTGGCATGTTGGGCTGAATGGTTTTTCTGTGGGCCGAGACAAAGATGTTGTCCTGTTTTTAAGGGGTGCTCGGCGTTTGCACCCACCCAACCGCCCTGTGGCACCGGCATGGGACCTTTCTCTTGTGCTTGAGGCTCTTCGGTCCCTCCCATTTGAGCCCCTGGCATCGGCAGACCTCAAATGGCTCTCACTAATGACGGCGTTCCTTTTAGCTATGGTTTCTGCGAAACGTGTGGGGGAATTACAGGCTCTCTCGATAGCCGAGCCCTGCTGCCGGTGGAATCCTGATGGCTCAGGGGTTACACTGTGGTCTGACGTACCGTTTGTTCCTAAGGTGTCACCGGCGGCTGGCAGTACCCAGCCGCTCCATCTTGCTCGGCTTGACACCGGAAGCCCCTCTGAACCACTGTGTCCTGTTCGTGCCCTTGAGACATATATCAATGCCACGGCATCCTTCCGAAAGACAAATAGTCTTTTTGTTTGCTACGCTGGCTCACGGAAAGGTCAGGCACTTTCCAAGCAGCGACTTGCACACTGGGTGGTGGATGTGATCTCCAAGGCTTATGCCTCGCAGGACCGGCCACTGCCGGCAGGAGTGAAGTGCCACTCTACAAGGGGCATGTCGACGTCGTTTGCTGCCATGACTGGGGTGCCATTGGATGTTATATGCCGTGCGGCCTCCTGGAAATCACCTAGTACCTTTACTCGGTTCTACAGGGTGAATGTGGCTGCGCCCCATCCGCTTCAAGGAATTTTGGAGCAGCATGCCTCTACATCACATTAGGTGGGTGGTGTAGTCGCGGTTCCTTGTTGCTGATTCCTCGTGACCTTGTTGATATGAGTCATCCAGTGCTTGAAGCACCGCCTCTGGCGGTCAGTAGGGATGAAATAGAACGAAGGTTACTGCCGTAACTACGGTTCTATGAATCCCGGATGACCGCCAGAGTGCTTGGTCCCTCGGAATCTCTGCTTTCGCGAGAAGTTTGAGGGATTGATTGCCGGGTGCCACGTGACTATATAGAGTCACGTGGGTCCCCGGCAGGTCACAGGTGACGTTGTTGTCATTAGTACTCGACCTGCGCATGCGCAAGAATGATCATTCAGTGCTTGAAGCACCGCCTCTGGCGGTCATCCGGGATTCATAGAACCGTAGTTACGGCAGTAACCTTCGTTATCTGGGTTGAAAAGCAGCGCTGGCTATTTCGAGGCATTCCTCCACATGTCAGTCCCAGCAGAACGGGTGCCGCCGTCCTCTCTGCGCAAACTTCTGTTCATATTCTCCCTCCATCTCTTACCCCCTTCTTTCCTGTCATAAAGCAGACTATTTCTGACGAGGCCCCATTTTCACACTTAGCTCTGCTCAGCACAGCTCTTAACTGCCAGCTCGCTATCTGAGGCTGCTTTCACTCACACTGCCCACAGTTTCCTCTATGATAGCTTTTTGCTGTCAATTCCAGACTACTGTCAGTATTTTTAGACTCAGGTGAACTTATGGCCCGACTCTAAATTAGCCTTTTTGCTATTTCTGTATGCCGCCACTTAGAGCAAAGGAGCAGGAGCATTGCATAAGATCCCTGAGTTGATGCAAATAGCATTTGATCTTGGAGAGTTTATATTTAAACATAAAGTGCATAAATGAGATCTGAAGAGGAATTTGGGCAGACGGAGCGCAAAAAATGCTTCGTCTCAATCCTCAAAGCCAAGGGTTCATCTCACAGATGCAGACTGGAAATCACAACTTTGCAAAAATAGATGAATGATTACTGATGGCTTTTAAGATGTGCCCCATTTTGAAAAACGTTACAGCTGCTTATTGAACAGTGAAAACTAAATGAGAATAAAATGAGAGTGATAAAAGAGAGATTTAAAAGAAGACTATAAATTATTCAAAATGAATCTATTCATTTATTTGTAAGAAATTATTATGATCATTTTTTAAATCAAACGATTTCATAAGATTGTAAACATATAAAAGTCTGGCTTCTATTGTAAATTCAGCCCGAGAATGGACCTTCTATCATTATAATATTTTACAGCAAATGTAACTATCGATGGTTAAAAAAGAGGACATAGCAGGTGGTAGGGTGAGCCAGTTAAAGCAGAGAATTCAAATGTTATGAGAAGCATGCGAAAGCATCACTGCATTCAACACAACCACCTCACATACTTTTTAAATGGAATGCAATTCAAAGATGGAGCAACCCAGTACACCTACTTGAACCCAACCATTTTCAAGGTGATATGCTTTTTTTCAGTGAGTGTGCGTCAGTGACCTTCCACAGTTTTATGGGTTTAGAAAGTTGTAAGTAAACTAAAAATTGCATAATATTTTGTATAAAATAAGCGATAATTGATTTACAGCTTTACTGCCCCAGATTTCCCTCGAGACATATTTTAGTCATAGCGTATTAAAAGAACAACCTCCTATATTTCTTATGTGGGCGGAATAGTTTTTTAAATGTACATAATATATTTTTTTCTGTTTTTGGAACTCATTACATACCTGTTTATATTCCCCAATGATGGAACCATTCTTTTTAATTTCCGACTCCGACTTATCCAGCTCTCTTCTGCACATTTCCTTCAGCTGTGGTAAAAAGAAAAACAAAACAAAAACACATCACCACTGTGAAGGTGGCAGGAAAAAAGAAATAGAGAACACAAGCAGATTTAAGGGCCCCGGAGACCAAGTGACTGCCATAAGATGTAAAGAACACAGAAAGGTATTGGCAGTCCTGAAGCTCAAGGCAATGTCCTGCCCTTAACAGAACCTCTACTCCAATGCATAAATCACTCTAAGTTACACCTACACACTCAAGGAGACAGGAGACACTTAGAGGATAACACTGAACACACGCATTAACAGAGGACAGCAGGTCTGTCTTCTGTCTCGAAGACATTTGGCTTAACCAAAGAAGAAAGAAAACACAAGATTTGACTTCTTTGTGCAACTGAACTGAGAAGAAAGCAGAACCTAAGAAAAAGGTTCTTTAAGCTTGAAAACATAGAGACAAAGTCAAGGACAGGTTGACTCTCAATGGTGTAAAAGGTGTTTTCCATGAGTGACACCAAGTAATAAATAAAATATACTGAAAATGCAAAAACTGAAAATAAAAGACCAACAAAAATTTTTATAAGACCACAAGATCAAGGAAAAATATACACAAAAGATCATCCAATGCAGATTACAACCAGTCACCGTGTGCATTCCCGATTAGGTTTGATACTAAACTCTGAACACGGACTCAGTCAAAAGTCAAAGGCCCTATTTTTTTTTCCCTGTCTTTTTTTTTTTTTTCTAACCTGGGCAGATTCCTCCTCCAGCCGCCTCTTCTCGTCCTCTGAGTCCACAAGTTTCTGTTTGGTCAGCAGCAACTCTTTATTCAGGGCGTCTGCCTTTTCCTCGGCCTGGAACAAACACATACACAAAAGACCCCGATGCTGATAAGGTCACAGAAAGTTAGACTCGCCCTACTTCCCTCCCTACATCTCTCTTTTCAAGGTAGGTCAAAAGAATTATATATTTTTTTTAAACTTCACACAAATGTGCTGCCTGTGCCTCAAACACACACACACACACATTTTTTTAGGTTAGCTAAATCGAGCTTATGTGTGGGTTAAAACCAAAAACACAGACAAACTTGTGCTTTTGCCTCATATCGATTCAGTTGTTGCTCAACCATCTCCATCATGTACAAACTGCTTGATGTTGAAGGGACAAGAACTCCAATCAAATACACAAATAGAGTCCTTTTCTTTGGCTTACATTGTCAAGGTCCTTCCGTAGAGCTATCTTGCTGCTAACCAGTTCATGTGCCAAGTCGTCGTTCTCCTGCTCCAGACGCATGTTGGCCTCTTGCAAACGACGATTCTCCCGCTAGACAGAGCAGGCGACAGAGAGACGATAAAAAGACAGAGGAGTTTGTTTTTGAAATTCAGGAAAGAAAGAAAATCAAAGATAAATCAGGGAAGAGTAGAATTGTAAAGCAGAAGAGAATACACAAAAAAGTGAAAGAGGAAGTAAAGTGAAATGACTGCAGAAAAACAGACTCATAAAGACTCCAGATACATTTCATAACTTCTCCTCTTGGCCTGGAACTTTCGCATTTAACGCAATGATCTTCATAAAAAAAAAAACTGCACAAGTGCAAAAGTTCACAGTGGTCAGGTGAGAGCATACCTTCACTGCATTGGAAGAACCGGTTATAATGTTCAACAGGACTTAGCTTGTTTGTACATCATTAACAGCAGCTGGCAGTTAAATGAGTTAACGTGAGAAACTACCAAAAAAAAAAAAAAGAAAAAAAACTCTAAATATCTAAGTTCACAAACCAAGCCAAAAATGTAAAAAATCCAATTCACAACACACATGTTTTTATGTGTTGAAAATAAGCTTTCAGTAATTAATATTAGTATTCTTTGTCTGGTGCAGTTTAATTTATTTATTTATTTATTTGTCGGTTAATTCTTTTTTGTATGTAGAGAAAAAAAAGCCATTTAAGAGTGGCTGTACTTTCACAATGATTGGTAAACTCTGAATATCTGATTGACATTTGACTCCTGGCTTAGTGGTTGAGTGTATTAAAAAAAAATCCCTCAAACAGCAATGACACAAATGTCCTAAGATGATCCTTTTGGATCAGAAAAACTATCTGGGACTGATGCATAATGTCCAGAGTACAATTTACCTTACAACCCTGCACTGCCAGAAAGAATACAAAGGTCACAGATTTGCTGGTGCTGTCTACTTAAAAAATGAATGAAATAAATTTATAGCATCAATAATTTCAGATAAAGATTTGCCAGAGGAGGGCGGCAGATTACGTGTTCTGCATATTGTGGGGGCAAGGATACCTCGTATCGCTCAATGGGGGCCTCCTGCTGCTCCTGCTGCTCCCGCATGGCGTGATACTCCTTTTCAAACTTCTTCAACTTCTTCTGGCTGATCTGTTAAACAGAGAAAGCCTAAGAGTTGTGGTGTGATATTCAGACATGACCAGGAAAATAAATCTAAAGCAATATGCTGCACCAGCCGTTTTTACTTTGCTTCCTTGGGTAGTTGGGAGTGGAGGGCTTTTTCAACATTCAGCAAACAAACTCAAACTAAACCTGACGGTCATTTAGTAAAAAAAGCAGTAGGAATGCTGGGAAATCGGTCCTTGCAGTCCTTGGTACCAAAGCCGTGTACCCTACTTATATGTCAAGTTTTAAGACACGTATTGTTGCACAAATAAAAAAAGAGTGAGAATATAAAGGATTATTTTTTTAAATATCAGAATATCAGTCTTATGTGAAATTCACCATTCAAAATTCTGTTGCACAAAGCCAACTGAGCTCATCTTAGGGGGGAACCTGAGTTCTGAGGATAAAAGAAATTGTGCATTTGAGCAATTTGTGCTCATAACGAAGCACTAAAAATCACTGATGTTGTTATTGTTCAAATGCTGTATTTGATGATAATGAGATCTCCAAAGAAAACCAAATGCTGAACATCAGAGATTTTGATGGATCTCAGCACAGTAGTTTGAATAATAAGAATTACTGCTGCAAAAGGAAAGCTTGAAATGTTCAAATCTGAAGATAACACTTTTTTCCCACCAGCACTGGGATTATAACATCACCCTGAGTGCTGTGAAGACTCACAAGGTAATAACTGTGTTTCAAGCACGTTGTGTTCCTCTAAGGTACAAGTCATATTTTAAAGCTCAAGAGAAGAGAAGCAGAGTTTATTCAACGCCGTTCAACAGCAGCTGAACCAATTAATACATGATGTTAAAACAGCGTTTGGGTTCAGCAGATCACCTTCAATAGATCACAGATCAAACTGAATTCTCAACACTGTTTGCCAGATTATCAACTTGAAAGCCAGAACCAATTCCAACACACTGAGACATTCTGTGGATTACTAATGCATTTACTTCACATGGGCAGCATCAGTCCATGTCTAACAGCATCCCACGGCTGCAGGCTTAGTTTAAACTGTGTGTGTCTGTGTTCTCAAAGAGCGTTTGGTTGGTAAATTAGAGACATCCAAAAGGAAGAAAAGTTCAGCAGGTTACTGAGCGCAGGGGATGTGTCATCCATCTCCTTGTCATCTTCTCACACAGAGACAGCTGGGTTTGGAGAAGGTGCTAATTATAGGAGCGATTAACAATGCAGAACATCCACAGCTCTCAAGTGCAACCATCATTTAAAAAGTGTATTAATAATACATTCAACATAATACATCTACTATGATGTCATAGGGCTTGGATCAATTATACTTTTTTAACAGCAAGCACAGCAGCACTATGGAGGCCGTCTACAAATACATGAGCACACATACAGTACAGTATGAACTACACAGCCAAGTCTGAACACAACCTCCACATTCCACATGATTTTATTCAAATTCCCTTACAAGATTTCATAAAACCATTTAAGTAGTGAAAAAGGATGCAACAAACTCACCAGGTGAAACTAATCGCTTAGTTCAACTTCGAGCATGTCAAAAACCTACGGGTGACTGAATTTTCTGCTTATGTGTTCAGACTAAGCTGAAGCTGTTGTCTCTGGACCTTAGAATCTGAGGGAGGAACTATTTATATTTATTTATTACTATTTATGTGGCTACTCTAGGTGATATTTCTTTGGCATCTAGTCGGACCGTGAGGAAACCTTAAAGTTTTTTTTAAACCAAAATCCGTCACATAAAACAGGTTTCTAGGACGGCACTCTTTCACGTTCATAATCTCTAAAATTAGGAGCATCCTGTCTCAGAGTGGTGCAGAAAAACTAGAACGTGCATTTATTACTTCAAGTTCGGACTACTATTTTTTTATCATTGGGCTGTCCCAAAAAATCTCTGAAAAGCAATGGCCGATCCAAAATGCTGCAGTCACAGTTCTCATGAAATATATTAGAATCTTAAAAAATAGATGATAGTTCCCCTGTTTTGGCTTCTTTTCTTTGGCTCCCTGTTAAATTCAGAATAGAATTTTAAAGTCTGCTCTTTAATATAAAGCTCTGATGACCAAGCTCCATCATATTTTATAGACTCCATAATTTGATATTCTCTCTTCAAAGCACTTCACTCTCAGACTGCAGGTCTAGTTGTGGTTCTTAGAGGCTTAAAACCTTCCTGATTTACAAAGTTTGTAGTTACTGATGGCTCAGGTGACCCTGAAACATCCCATAGTTATAATGCTGGGGAAGCTCCACTGATGCATCTTTCTTCAATCTGTTTCCTTTTTCTGACCTTCCCTTTTCATGTATATGATCATAGACCAAAGTTGTACAAATATGATCCATCAAAAAGAAAAAAATGTATCATTCAAATCTAAGACATGATAAGCAACACTATTACATGTTCCATTATGTGGAAAACATAGGTACAACATGACATATGACTAATCCGAGCTGAAGCTGTCAATAAAACTGGAGCACTTTGAAACACAGAGATGTGATGCGGTCAGTAGGCAGCTTCATCACTCAATGGGGCCAGTGGTAATCCGGTCACTTAATCCCACTATAGTGACATCAAAGGCTCAGATTAGCCTACCAACATGACAGCGGGCCAGATTTCTTAAGAGTTATTTTCTGCTGCTTCTCAAATGAATATGGAAACTCACGAATATACAAACTCGGTTCAATTCACCAGTTATCAATATAAAACCAGAAAATATATGTTTTAAATGGGTTCCACCTTTGTGGCCTTTTTGAGCCTATCATAATGGACATTCAGAAACGATGTTTCCAAGGTGAGCACAGAGGCATCTTTAAAACTGTAACGCTGCTCCAGTTACCTCTCATTTACTTCCACTGGATTTTTCTTTGCCGAGGGGACTACTGCCAACCTCTCCAACTGAGGACCAAAAAGTTCAAATCTCTCTTTATGCGGGCTCCTTTCCGGAGTTTGTGCAAAGAAATATGTCGGACTAAAGTTATCTTCAAAGTCAGCTCCTTCAAACTGGGCCAGGCTGTTCAAAACAGGTCAGGACACAGGTGTCAGTGTTGAAAAGAGGGATGTGTTGGTCTGGTGTTTATCTGTGTGTGTGCACGTGTGTTTATGTGTGTTGATTTAATCTGTTAGCTTTATAAATTCAACAGTGACCCCTACTGGCAGCTGAGCAGCACTGCTGAGCTACTCAGACATTACGTAAAACAATACTAATATTGAATTGGATGTTTCTGAAGATATTCCCTCTGTCACACGCATATAAACATACAGTTAGAGACTACCTTAATGCAACCGTTATAAACCTTATGCTGGGCTATATCCTCTGTCTGAGTTGTTTGCCCAAGAGATAAAGGTTTGTTAAAACTAACCTTCATGCTACAAGCCAGCTCCATCAGCTTCTTAGCATTCTCCTCTGAACGATACCTCTTCGGAACAGGGACACGAAAAAATTTCAGCGCACCCTCAAAGTCTGCTTGGATTAAATCATCTTTTGAAGTCTGAGGGGGAAAAAAAATAAATATTCACATTATATAAACCAAATCAGTAATCGCATAACGAGGGGAAAACCATTTAATGAAGGCAATGTTGCGGTTTGATGTATATAAAGAACAGATCAATGAAAAGCCAAAGGAATTTTTCTTTTACTGAATAAACACCATCACTTTGCTCTCAGCCCAAAACTACAGTGTGAAACTCTGGATGCGTCGCACCACCTTTTCCCAAAAGTCAAATAATCTTTTGACTTGTGGAAGCAAGTTAAGGGGCACATTCTACCCATTTCTATACTGTCTAACAGATGTGGAGTGTGTTTATCTTTGTATACATTACCCTTACCTTAAGAAGAGCCAAGGCTACATTGAAGATGACACTAATTCCCTAAAACACAAAACAAAAATGAATATGCACAGCTGGTTTGGAAATTGGTTTCAAATAATCACAAGATTCAACAGAAATGTTAGAGTATGCAAAAACTTTTAAACAAAAATCTATGTGAGACTTTTCTTTAAGTTACCAACCTCACACAGTAGTAGGTCAATTATATGAAAGACCATGTAGAGGGGAAACTTGGCTGTGAAGAGGGTGAGGAACCACTGGGAGGCGTACATATGTGCCTCCAGACCCACATTCAGGAAATGGCTGTAGAGATCTGGAATGCATTCCTAAAGAAGAAGGAAAGGGAAAGAAGATGGAAGAAATCACAGATTCAAATTAAAGGACTAAATTTGAAAAATATGTTGAATCAATTATATACAGAAGCAGAAAAAGACAAAAAATCTAGATACATAAACATCTGGCACGCCTTGTTTGGTGAGCCTATCTTCTAAAATGAACACACTGAGATGTGAAAACACGACACACAGACCTGCATCAGTCTCTCAAGTTGGAAGAACTTGCAATGCAGATCTTCAAAATTCTGCTTGAAAAGGTCTCTCAGACCATAATCAAACATGATCTTCACCAAAACACTGAAGGCTTGTTCTTCTGGCATCTGAGAAACACCGTGAGATTAATTGATGAGTCATTTCAGACATTCATGATTCAGGTTTCACATCTAAGAAAGTTAATAATGATCTGTATGAGTCCCGTATACAGATGTACTGACTACTTTAAAAGAAATAAAACTAAGATTAAATCATTCTCCACTAGGCGGCAGTGTTGACTCGTTTCTGGACTTCAGTGACATAAATAAGCAAATGCTTCTTAACTTCAACTACAGGAACAACAACAGTGCTTTCTTAGTCATATAACAGAGTTCTGAGACAAAAGAGGTTAACGTAACATATGCCAACTCTCCATTATTGCACAGACTCCAGAAGATACCAATATCAAACAAAAGCAGCCGTCCCTCTGGGCCTTTGACATTATTTGAAATGTTTGAGATTTTTCTGGACTCTGCTGGTATACAAACTCACGTGCAGGAGCAGCACAGCAGCCAAAAAAGACTGTCCCTGGCAGTAGCCAATCTCCTCATCGTAAACAGAGTAGGCCTGTTGGAGAACACGTGAGCAAATGCGGTCAGTCAGTGGGAAAATTACATTAAAGTTAAAAAAGGAGACAAAAAACACACACATACACATTCCTTTTGGACCTGGTGAGAAAGAAAACAAGGAACTAACTTTTAGAAAGGGGTATAAATCAAACCGTATAGGACATCTTTTTTTACCTTTGTAGAAAACTACAGTTGTACTGTGGGCTGAAATAGTTTAAAGAATGTATCTTCACTGTGTGTGTATCCTGATAGCAATGACATTAAGATATGCTAGAAAACATTACAAAAATGCTGTCCTACGATGAGGAATGTATTCATTACAAATGAGGAGGAAAAGATAGTAAAAAGACTATGAAGACTATGGAAGATCTGAGACAACTTTAGGAAAAACACTGTATTGGCCTACTGAACTAGAATAACAATTAATGACTAAAAGTCATACAAAATGTGGATCAATCCACACACGTAGGAAAGGGAGGGGCCACTGAATTATTCAAAATACACCTCAGGAGGTGTGTGTCTGTGAGGAGATGGATGCCCTGACTGCAGCTATAAATAATGAATGACATGAGACTGAAAACTGTGTAAATACTGCAGCTGGCTTTTCACAACAGATTAAAGACCTATGTTTAAATGTGTGTGTTCATGCTTTACATCTTTTTTTCATGCACACACAGCCACAGTTCTCCACTTTAAATGTTTTGTTTATACCCAAAACTTAAACAGGTTACTGCTATTTGATTAATTTTGGTTCAAATTCAGACCCTGAGCTCCCATTTCCACAGTGCTTGTTTACTTTTACCGTGTTTTGTGTGGACTAACTATCACTGGGTCTGATATTTCAGCCTAATGTGTACTTTTTGTATTTCTAGACAGTTATGAACTCACTGAACCACCGACAGAGGCAAGGCTAATTAATGAGCAATAACAACAGCTCCCACTACTGCTCCACAAACTTTCAGACCCACTATGAAGCAGGTCATTTACACATTAATTACACTAAATCCCGGGGAATGTGTTGATCAATCTCACATGCAGCTAGAATTTTCCCATCTGTTTCAGTTAACTTGTTTTGATTTAGCCATTTTCAGTCCAAGTCTTAATTGCTTTATCTATTGTTTATAAAACAAGGCTTTTTCTTTATTTTCCTCAGTTTTCTTTTTCTATGAGAAGTTTTTTAGTTTTTAGTGTATGTATGAATGTAAATGAGTTCAGCTTCATAGAACACGAAGGTTAAAAGAATGTTGCAACTCCTACACTGAAATGAAACATAAAAATGAATAAGACCAGATATATCAGTGGGGTTGTGATTTTACAAATTCAAGTGGACTTGAACAATTCCATATTCTAGAAAAGAATTATATCCAAATGGACTATGGTTTGCATTGGGTACTGCCACTAATTGTGTGGTGGGATGGTGACGAGCTGCTGATGTGTTTCTGCAGCTGTGCGGTTTACAGCTCGTTTGGCATCCAGCTGCTGCAGAGGTTTGTGCACCGCTTGAATCTTTTGTATGGCTCCATAATTTACTGCATCCACCGCACTAAACTAGTCATGTTTGTGCTGTAGCCCCACCTTGCAGATCTTGTAAAGCGAGTCTTGGCCATCTCCTCCTGTGTCTTTGAAGTAGTCATGAGCTGGGAACGTCCTGTTAATGTCCCTGGTGATTGCACTGTCTTGAGGAGACTCCTAGAAGCAAGAGAAGAGAGTAGAGGGAATAGGGTTGAGATTCGTATTTATTTTTGTACTGGATCTGACTGGGAAGGAAAATTCCAAGGAGACCCAGCAGTGGTCAGTGTTCAGCAGCATGCAGCGAGCAATGTTGGGACTTCCAATGTGGGGAAGAAGGAATAACTGGCACAGAGTGTTCTCTTCTATGTACAGACTGTCCAAAGCTCTGTGTCTCTCTAATATCTGTCACTCCAGCCATAATTCTAATCAGTTTAGGAACACAACAAGTCACTTTGTGTTGCCAAAGTTTAGACACAGGCGACACCCGCGATAACACTGACAATCCCTCAAAAGATATTTGAGGGAGGCGGTCAAGATATACACAACTCCAAAACAGAAGCACTATCATTCAGATCAGGAAAAATCTGCTAACCAACAAACGTTCTTGCAAATATTGGAACCTAAACGGTAATTAGGTTTGCACAATTTACTTGTGACATAATACTAAATAAATCAATTGATCTTATTTAATTTCTTTTTAAGAAGAAAACAAAAATCCTGTGATACACTGACCTACTTCACAGGGCATAAGATGCCTTATGAAGGAAAAACATCCAGAGCCTTCAGTACTGCACTGAGAAACATCAGGCCGATAAGGGGGTCTAAACATCCTACGACGTCAATTTATGTGGAATGTTCTAAATAAATGTTCATTCACAAGAAAGAAATACTTTAAATGCTTGTTGAAAAGATTAAAGCAAGGTGTGGAAGAAAGACTGCTGCTTTGCTGTGCATGTGCTTTTTTATAACACCAAAATCACTATGAGTTCAAAAGAACTCTACCATTAATCTTATTATGCAACTGAGGGAAAGTCAGGCTGATACCGTCTCTATCCTATTGGGATTAATAAAAAGCCTTACAAAAATATTGACGGAATGACGCAAGCTGTAGATTTTGAGACCATTCCATGTGTGGGCATAGATCTACCAGACTGACTCTAGCACTAGCTTGAATATAAGGTGGAAGTTGAGGCGTTACCTCATCACTGACAGCACACACCACATACTCAGGGGCAGAGGAAACCTCTCTGGGCTACCCCTCCACTGCGATGACAGAGCACCACCGAGAGGAAACGCCACACACACAGATCACTGCGCAATCACTAGATTTAGCTTTTCTAAGATTAATCACTGCCCGTTATGTTATTGATCATCATTTCAAAAATAACTGATGTTGCCCTCAGGCAGGCTGCCGTTGCAAAAAGATTCAAATATGTATTTAAGATATTTTCACACAGCTAGAGGCTTTGAAACGGGGACTATATCAGGTCATGTCCATTTAACTTTATAAGGAAATGAAAACATGGTCTACGGTCCACACTTTCAGCGGGCATTGCAGCAGGATCAGAGGAAGGCTGGAAGGAGTAAAGGGCAATGTCTCTAAATCTGTAACTCCGTCTTCAAAGCAGAACCAAACTGAAGCCTTACCCCAGAAAATCCTGCCATTTACAGTGAGTCACAAATTATTTTTAATCTCTCTCATTCGCTTTGCAGCTAATTACACTTTCTTCATCTGTTACTGTAACGATAAAGCCCTGAAAACCACCCCCCCCCCCTCCTCCATCCTTTTTCCGTGGTTTCTGTTCCAACTTCCATGGAGGAAGAATGAAAAATAATGTAAGTATCAGAAGAAATGCAGGAAGAGAAGAATAGTAAAACAAAGCAAGCTAATGGTGATCAGAGACCAACAACAGTGGCTCAATCCACTTCCTACACCCCTCCCTGTAAGTCAGGGTAATTGTATGTGTATTTTTGTACGCATACTTGAATGGTAAGTGTTGTGAGAACTATTTGGCGTTTCAGACCTTGGGAATTATGACATTTTGGGTTGGTCCTCATTCTGAAAAACCTTCAAAGGACCTCATGGTTGACTTTGTTTTAGGGTCAAGGTTAAGATGATGTCTTGGTGCGGTAATGGCTGGGTGAATAATTCAGATGGTGATGGCTTACGGTAAAGGGACTGGAAGTACATTCTGACTTTCGCATTTGCCTGGCGGGAGTACAGTCCAAGTACAGTCAGTCCCTGCGACTTTTTTATGTTTCTCTGGTAAATACACCAAATAACTCAAAATGAAACATAGTCTTTCAAGGAAATGTTCTTCTCCTTCCCTCTGGGTCATTGGAATATTATAGCATTTCTGTCTTCCGCTCTACCTGCTCAACATCCCCGCTTTTCTCTCCACAAGGTTTGGAAGGACTTGTACATGAATTACAACAATGCTATTCAACGAGATGCACCCCTGAAGTCAAGATTACAGCAAATGAGAAAATGAGCACAAGGCCACTCCAGAAATCTCGCCATTGATATGAAAAGATGTCGTTACGAGAACAAGAGCGGAGATACTTAATCCAGTGTGAAGGGCACATTACACTTGGCCACAGTCTCAGTAAAAGATAACAATCCATGTTTATACAAGCACCACTTAGCCATACTTATCTGAAGTGCTGAGAGAATGTACAAAACCCTCTGACATGGTGACCAATTAGCTTCCTCTCTGTCCATCTGTGTGACAATCTAAAGAGCAATTTAGAATGAGGGTCGCGTGAGAGAGATGTGAAAACACATTTAATGTCTCATAGCATTATGAGGAAGCTATAAACAATTCTTTTTTTTTTTTTTTTTTTAAAGCCAGAAATATAATGAAAATGTTATTTTGAAAGACAAAGGCATTTAAATATTTGCTAACGAAAGATCCAAAAAATTTTATTATTTTAAAAAGGTTTAACACTGAAAGATTTGCTGTGCTTTAGGCCATTTTAAGTCTCGATTCTTTCAATTTATTAATGAAATGTCAGGGTGTGACACACTGGAATTTGACATAAAGGACATTAGAGCAGAATAAAAGACAACAGCATTCTCAAAACAATGTAAATGGATGTCTCATCATCGTATTGTGTCCTGCAAGCACCTTATTTCTGACTGTTTAAAAGTAGCTTTTTTAAAATTATATGGATGTGAGTGCAAATGAGGTAAGTGTGTTATTGCTGAGCCTCGCAAGCCAAAATGCATGTGAAGGGTTTCTTTCACGCCATTACCATCAAAAGCAAACAATAGGAAAAGTACACAGCTACAGCTTCTCAAAGGACACAGCAAAGCACCGTCTCCTGACGGTCACAAACAGTCAGAGTAGCACTGTGGGGAAATCAAAACTGCCGTGAAGTGAGTGAAGTCACGGGTCATAATCTCCACACAGAGGGGTAATGCAAAAATAGCCGAGCTCTAGTCAGTTCATTTGTGTGCAGAAAGCTGGGAGTAAAGAAGCAGAATAGGGCTTCCGTGAGAAAGCCGAGCAGCTAGACCTCCATTGTTTATGTACCTGATTTTCTCTGACTCAACACAATGGCTGACATGTCATTCTGTTATCCTTTCTCTGCTGCTGAGGACCCTGCTGAGCCGGCAACACGGGGTGATATTTATCAGACCTGCTAAGAGCCTTACTCTCTAACCCAAACAATCCAGGGTGCTACAGTGAGCATATTTCACAGAGTGGGATTTCAACTAAACAGTCAACTTCGGGGGCAATGTGACAGCAACTTGCATGAGTGTGCCATATCTAAATCTTTATTTATTCCATACATTTATTTCTATAATATTTTAATCCCTAATAAATGAATTATCAATTCAATTCAGTGATTAATTGACTTTATTTTTACAGTCATCCATTGATCAGTGTGTCTTTTATCCCATTTTTTCTGGCCAATAAGTAAATGTGTGTAGCTCTCAAATAATTTTAGATCACTTACGGTAAGACATTTGGGTCACTACAGATGGACATGTACAAGCACGCCGTTTGCAAAACAGCATGTCATAAAAAGCCTGCATCATCATCAAAACATGTTTTAACAACTGATTTCACTGATCCTGACATTAGCAATCTGTAAAAGTGCGCATCTTGCAAAAAAAAACACACAAAAACAAAACAAAAAAAACACTTTATGTGGGCAACACCCCTGGCACAGAAGAAAAGTGACACGTTTTGTTAATAATCAACATAGCAGCTGCTTCATTTCCAAAAGCTCCAAACTTACAAGGCCTCATTGTTCGCAGAGCAATTTTCCGCAATCACTGTTGGCCAAAAAAACTAAACTAAACTAAACAAAAACAAACAAATGCAGATGAAAATTCCTGTGTTTAGAATGATTTCCAGTCCAGGGGTTAGTTACAGCTGGCAGTCTTCATTTGTGTGATATGCGATAATTATCTATTCCTCAGAAAAGCTGGGTCATGATTCAGCTGTTAGTGGGATTGCTTGTTAAGAGAACAGCCAGGCGATAAACAATCTTGATATAATTGAGGGGGTGGGGGGAAACAACTCAATAACGTTAATAAACGGAATAAATTGCCCAGGCAACTCTAAACCAGATCAACTTCCGGGACAGTCCTGTCCACATTGTGCTGATACAGACAGACAATCTGAAGAGTCAGAAATCTGTTCTTTTGTCTTTAACTCTTGTTTATATATTTTAAATCGTTAAGATTAGTGTTGCAAAGATATTATATCTAGTGTTTTGTATCCTAAAAACCTAAACAGGACTTTAAATACAGATGCTGGAATATTCGAATCTTATCTTATTTGCATTTGCTGCACTGTTTATTTATTTTTGCATGCCCAATATCAACCCCACTTATTTCACTGATTACAACAAATCGTTGTTATAGTTGTTGGTGTTCATCACTGTGGCTAAAAATAACAGTTTTGCTCTTTGACATAAACAAAGCATAATTTCAGCAACAAATTCTACATCAGCTTCCATAAGTTCTCCGATTCAACGCTGCTCTGAGGTCCCTATTGACCAACAGCTCGCTTTAGAGCATGAAAGCCGATTGTTTTCCTACAGGAAGAGGGCAATGCGTGTGGGTGACCATTAATGTCAGCTTGCTTTGGCATCAGAATTTTCTTGAACACAGCTCTTTTTTCAGCTAAAAGAAATGGCTACCCTCTGTGATTTAGTAAAGAATATCCTGTAATGGTTTCAGCTTTTTCTCTCTCGTTAGTTTTTAACATCAAAATACAATTAACTTTTTTTCAATCCTCTTTTTAAAAATGACATATCTGAAAGCAGAAACAAACCAATAA